TATTTGCAGAGTTTAGGTCATTTTCCAACTTTTTCTGGAGATAAAGTTTCTAGGTGAAACTTTGTTTTATGAGTCCCTTATAAATAAGAGCTCAGAACATAAAGCCTCTTTTGTGAGAGATAGAGTATGGCTTTTTTTTTTTTTTTTTTTATAATGCTCTACATGGTAAGACATTTTTCAGTTTGGAAGAATTTCTTGACGGTTAATTCCCTCAAAAAATTAGGTTAAGTGTATCAGAACAATTACTAACCTAGAATCTTTAGAAAACAAGGCAATGTATTTTCCTTTCTTGGGGGCTGCGAAAGAGGACCAATTTAGTCATCATCAACCCATATGGTATTTTAGAGAATTTGCCAGTTTTCACCTCAGGATTTAATCAACTATGTGTAGATGTCAGGAGATAGGAGGGTCCACTGATGCCAGGAGGGTAGGAGAAGGTAAATTTCTAAAAGTGCTTTACCATTTTTTGTAATTTACATTCATCAGTATTATCACACCTCCAATATGGCCCCTGTATTTTTCTGAGGCAAAACAAAATGGGTCAGAAAAGAAATTTAGGAATTCTGGACTCAGATCCTAGTTGCTAGTTGCCTTATTTGGTGCTAAGCTGTATTTCATTTAAAGGTGTCAAGAACAAACATAGTTTTGGTTACTCCCCCTTCCCTCTTTCCCCCCATCTGGTTACTTGGGGCTTGATTTTTAAAAGCTGAGGATGGAGAATTAGTCACAAACTTGGGAACTGTGAGCTTTCTTTCCCTAAAGGGAGAGCCTGAACATCAAAAAGTGAAAAGAATGCCTCTGGATTGTTTTCCTTGTGCTCCATTGTAAGAATAACTTTTAGTCAAGATGCTTCTCTGTAGTGGGCCAGTTATCTTGCTAATCTGTCTCTTTCTCATACTTTGTTCTAGGGGGTTCTAGCCACATCTTACTGTCTTTGTGGGTCCTAATGGAGGTCCAAGTCCTAAAGCCTTTCCATCTTCTTAATATTTTATACAGAATACAGTTTTGTAGATCTACTATGTTTGGATGTCAGCGAGTCCTAACCTTCTATAATGGCGAGACAAAGTCAAGCTGAAAAAAATAACAAAGAAAATAGTCTTTAGAAATAGATATAGTTTGTTCTGATCCTATGTTTACACTCAAGAAAAATAAAATGTACTTTCATAGGTCCCTGCTGATTACTTCACTCTGCTAAGATAATTTTTGATCAGTGGTTTATTTTGAATGCCATTTTAAAGTGGTAACATTTTGTGATGTTGGCAAAGTTATCCAGCCACTCCCCCCTTCCCCGCCCTTTTCCCCCCAGGAGAGCAAGAAGCCTTGTAATAACGCAAAACTTTGGTAGAAGACACCTAAATGTTATTTAAATAGAGCTTGACCTTTGAGCCAGTGTACTGTTTCTCTACTAAGTCAAGTTAGCATGCAAATAACGTAAATATAACCAGAAATGTAACAAGGGTATCTAATACTCATCAAATTTATTTCTAAAATATTGCAGTGGATTCAGAACCCTGAATTCCAACCAGATGTACTTCTGGAATATTACACAGGTCATATATATTTCACTTTTTTTTTGGTTCAAACCCAGGGGATCGACACGATAATTAGATTGAGAACATCTGCACCAAATCCAAACCATTTCCCTGATCCTTCCTTGAGCCTTCCCCACGGGAGGTTTTTTTGTTTTGTTTTGTTTTTTTTCTTTAAGCCCTTGCACATTTTATTTGTCTAGCCACCTTTAGGGCAATTCCGAGGTCTCGCCTGCTTGCCACCGCACAAATAGGAGGGGAGCGCAGACGTACCCCCAAGAGTGGGATACGGGGGGAGATCGTTAGACGTGGCATCTCGTCGGGACAGGACTCCCCGGAGGTGGCAGTGCAGTTTCCCGCCTGGGGCCGGGCTCCGGGACAGGGCGTGGCCAGGCGCGGGGCGCGCGGGTGGGCACGTGCGCGGGGACCCGAGGACGCGAGTGTCGGGGCGCCGCTGCCCTCTACCGGGCGGCGCGGTCGGAGCT